CCTTCCAATGACTGTTCTCAAGCACAATAAATGCAAGATACAGAGGTGAAGAAAAGAAAGTGCTAAGACAGAGAGGTGTTTCCCCACTTTGGAAGAGCATTTGTGCAGAAGGAAGGAAGGAAGGTAGGAAGGAAGGAAGGAAGGAAGGAAGGAAGGAAGGAAGGAAGGAAGGAAGGAAGGAGCTCATGATGAATGGAAGGAAGGATACCCCCGCCAAAAAAAACCCAGTGTACTTCCAGTCTGACCTAAAGAGACAGAATTGTATTTTTCCAAAGGAGTTCAGAACCACAGAAAAGGGGGGGGGGATGAATATGCACAAGGCACATGCAGTGCCTCAGACTGGCTCATGATCACGCATCAGACAGTATCTGATGTCTCCCACATTGTTGGCAATCTTCCAGTCGGGCAAGCAGAATTGCTCCTGACAAAAGCCGTCACAAGTAGAGACACATGCCTTCAGGACATGAGGAGGCCAGAGCAATTGTGCTCCAGCTGCTGAGATGTGTAATATGTTCCGAGAAAGGAGGACGGCCGGAACGTATCCCTGTTGCAGAGATTCTGGATCATGAATGGAGCTCAAACCCACATTCCCAAATGCTGCCGTTGCTGCAATCATTTGCTAAATTTACTTAGAGAGTTTACGGAAGAGAGATAGCCACTCTGGAAGCTAGTCTTCAGCATACAGAAACACTTTACTGCTTGCTATATGGGAGATCCTTTTAGGGATAGCACGGAAGAAAGAGACTCCCTACACTTTTCGGCAGAGGCTCCCTAAACCTTAAACCCACGCCTGGAAGTCTGATGTGGAAGTCATGATTCTCATTGTGATGGAGGAAAAGAAGCAGGACATGATTTCAAAGAGAGAAACAGGAAGGAAGATCAGGAATGCCCATCTACAGAGAGAGCTAGAAAAGACAAGTGGAGAAAATGCAGCCAGCTAGCTGTCTGACTACACACACACACACACACACACACACACACACACACACACATTGGTGCAGATAGTTCAATGTAAGCATTGGAGCTCCATTTAAATAAATATGAAAGGGACACCCCACTTCTCACAGAGCTTTGGCCATCTACCTGAGGAGTGGTGGAGGATACCACCCCATGAGTAGTTTTGAAGTAAGATACATTGGCTTCTATACATGCCTCCAGCTGTAACCTGTCTTGGTGCGCCCTTTTCCTTAGAACTTGATTAGATTCTTCTTCAATTCTGCTTCCATCTGCAGTGATTCTCAGCCTTGGGTCCTCAGAGGTTCTTGGACTACAACACCCATTCCACTGTCAGACCAGTTGGCTTCTATACATGCCTCCAGCCGTAACATGTCTTGGTGCGCCCTTTTCCTTAGAACTTGATTAGATTCTTCTTCAATTCTGCTTCCATCTGCAGTGATTCTCAGCCTTGGGTCCTCAGAGGTTCTTGGACTACAACACCCAGAAGTCTTCAATGCTAGCTGTGCTGTCCAGGATTTATGAGAGTTGCAGTCCAAGAACATCTGAGTTGACCAAGGTTGGGAACCAGAGACCTAAAGGATCTATAACCTAGGTCAGTGGGACCCAACTTTGGGTTCTTAGATATTCTTGAACTACAACTCCCAGAAGCTTCCCCACTTCGCTGTGCTGACCAGGACTTCTGGGAGTGGCAGTCCAAGAACATCTGAGTTGACCAAGGTTGGGAACCAGAGACCTAAAGGATCTATAACCTAGGTCAGTGGGCCCCAACTTTGGGTTCTTAGATGTCCTTGGACTACAACTCCCAGAAACTTTCACCACCAGCCATGTTGGCCAAAACTTCTGAGAGTGGCAGTCAATCTGAAGAACCAAGGTTGAGAAGCAATGACCTAAAGGATCTATAATCTAGGTAAGTGGGACCCCACCTTGGAGATGTCCTTGGACTACAACTCCCAGAAGCTTTCACCACCAGCCATGTTGGCCAGAACTTCTGAGAGTGGCAGTCAATCTGAAGAACCAAGGTTGGGAACCAATGATCTATGGCAATGGGAGAGATAGCCAGAGGCTGAGGTGGTGATGAAACAATGAGCGTCCCTCTTACATCATTCCTACTAGGGCTCTCCTCCCTCCAAACACATGGGTTGTGTTTCTCTCCCTGCTGCTGGATGAGCGAATGTTTCTCTCCATTATATATGGACGCTGCTTCCCCACAGCAAGGTCTACTAAATCTAGGCCTGGCCTTGTCTGTTGGCCCTATGAATGGTCCCTTCACTTTTCCTGCCTTTCCGGCTTAGATTTGTCCATCGGCAGCTACTGCAAATGTCCGTGCTTCCTTCCAGGACCCTCGTCTGTTTCCTGCTTCAACACAAACCCTTTTGACCTTCCTTGTGGAGTGAAGCAGAGGAAGGTGTCTGTGGACCTGATTTTTCTAGCCCTAGCTGTGTAAACATCTGGTAAAGCACATTGTCAGGCTGCCGAGCAGCGCAACGCCATGTGGTTCCCAACTGCCACGTCCCCATGTATGTGAGACATCTGATGGAAACTTCACTAGGAACACATAACGCAGCCTGGACCTTTCCTGCTTTCTGCCTCTGCTCTCCACCTCAAAGACCTGAGAGTGCCCAGAGCATCTGTCTGCTCCAACAGTGATGGCTGGCGAGGCGCCCAGTCCTCTTCCACCTCAAGACACCACAGGCTGGGCTTGCTGTCAAATTGCAAGGTCAGGATTTCTGCTCAACACAGAGAGCTTCCCCAGAGCGACTGTCATTCAGCAGGAGACTCGGATGTTTATCTTCCACATGCAGTCGGCCATGCCTCTTCTCACACAGTCTTGCTGTGCGATTTTGGGACATGTGAGCCGCTGACCTTCATGATTCAAATAGGGGCACCAAACTCCAGAAAACACCCCCATGCACCCTTACACACAGGCACAGATGCATATCATTCTGCACCACCACCTCCTCTGCCAAAAATGGCTGTGCGATTTTGGGACATGTGAGCTGCTGACCTTCATGGTTCAAATAGGGGCACAAAAATCCAGAAAACACCACCGTGCAGTGAAACAACCACATGCACCCTTACGCACAGGCACAGATGCATATCGTTCTGCACCACCACCTCCTCTGCCAAAAATGTTAAGTTTCACAAGGACCATACATGATGCAAATTAAGCGGTATTCGCATCTAATATTCTTGCTTTGTGTGATGCATTCTGCTTCCCAGCATGGTAGGACATACAAGGAACTATGGAGATATCCTACGGTGAATAGCCACTGCTCACTGTGTCTCTATGTGATGTGCAGAATGCTCTAGGCTCCTGTTTCCAGATAGGAAATTTGAAAATGGGAATTATATCTGCCTAAAATCCTGACATGCTGCTGCCGGTCAGTATCAACATTACTGGTTTCAGTGGACCAATTATGTACTTATAAAACCATTTCTTACTTTGTTGTGTACTGAGCCATTCATCCTTAGCCTCAGAGTGAATCCTGTATGTACTGAACAGAAGGAATTGCTTATCTTAAGGAAGGAAAGAAGGAAGGAAGGAAGGAAGGAAGGAAGGAATTAATTGTGAAGTCTTGTGTTTGAAACACTTGGAAAATCAATGTTTCTCAAAATCAATGTTTTGATGTTTTTTTTTTTAAAAAAAGAACTGTGAAGTAGTCTCTTATACAAAATTCATCCATACGGCTTTAACAAAGATAATGTTTCCTGACAGATCCTGGGGCGCCCACGAAGAGTATAATGTTGGCACGGTTAATGAGACCAACTCTTCTGCCTTGTGGCAAATCTGTTGGTTCTCATTAGATGGCACCACAAGGAAACTGCTCGATCAGTGGGGAACCAAGACGGCTGCCTCCATGGGCGATTGTTTAAAATAGTTCTGTCTCGACAAAAGACATTTCAGCCTCCCTGATAAGAACAGCAGGGTAGTTCCTTCTATGACAAAAAGCTGAGTTTGGTCTTTAATCACATAGGTTGGTTAAAAAAAACCAGATTTCTGGAATGTTCTGTGCAAGAGGAGGGACAGTTTTCTTGAATTCTGGACATCAAGGCTGCCTTGTAACAACAGCCAGAGGCTCACACAAACCAAAGCGTCACAGCATGTGACCAGAAGATTGTTCTACAGCAGTGGTTCCCAACCTTGGGTCCCGAGACGTTCTTGGACTGCAACTCCCAGAAGTCTTCAACACTAGTTCTGCTGGCCAGGATTTCTGGGAGTTGCAGTCCAAGAACATCTGGGTTAATCAAGATTGGGAACCACTGGTCTATAGGATTCCCTTTCGTTAGCACTACCCTTGCAATTCTGTAGGAAGTCAAAACTGGAGGCCATTGGGGGATTTATTTACATGCAAGGAAGCTGAAGAAAAAGAGTATGAAGGAAACTAAGAGAGTTTCTCAAGGTAGACATGAGATGAGGCTTACAAGTTCCTCCGCAGTGTTGCTGGATTGCAAACCAAACACAATCCAAAGCTGAAGATGGAGATATGCCCCTTTGAGTGAAATATTTGGAGTATTCTAAGTCGAAAGACAGAGTTCTAAGAGGACCTCTCCCATTTCTGAGGTTCTTGAGGGCTTGCTCCATGTTCTCATTTTCAAATCTCCTTCAGCTTGGGAAAGGGAGATCTGGTGTAAACACCAGAAATGAAGATCTAAAATGTGATGCACCACATAAAACGTGATACATACATACATCAACATCATCATCACTATCACCATCAGCAGCATCTTAGAACTGCAGAGCTGGAAGGGACCTTATGGATCATCAGCTACTCTCAAGGAGGCCCAGAGGGGAATCAAACTCCCAACATCTGGCAAGTCTAAACCACTGAGCTATCAGGCAGCTTGTGTTTCCTTCATCAGTATTAAGCTTTATAGAACTTGAGGAGTATGGATGAAAATTCTGTAAATAGCAAGAAATCTTTCAGAGCACAGACAGAGTTCTGACTCCTGTCCTCTGAAGATGCCGGCCACAGAGACTGGTGAAACATGAGGAAGAACAACCTTCAGAACACGGCCAAAGAGCCCGAAAACAACCAACAAGAAATCTCTTCGCAGCCGCAAAAAGGTAGACTCGTATTTGTAGGTGTACATGCACACACAGGCACGTGGACACGGAACATTATCTAAAATAAATCAAACTATGGAAATGTAGGTTAGATCCAGAAAAGAAAGGGAGGCACCCCACCCTTTCAACGCAACCAAGGGAATGGCATTACCGTTTTCATCCAGCGAAAAGTCATCCTGTGCGTAGCGAAATTTTTCTGGACCGCAGGCAATGAACACATCATCGTCCCCAAAGAAATCATGAAGGCAGGTCACCTACCGAGAGAATAGATTCATTCATTTTAGTTTTAATCCACAGCACTCAGGTTTCATGTTGACATCAGGTAGCTTCATCTCCGTGTCCTCCACATCCACCATTGTTTCAATTCATTTTCTATGGGAAAACGTGGTACGTTTTCAGCAAATCGGTTCATTGAGGGGGTAAACCAGCAGTGACATGCAGTGAGGTATAGCCTTCTCAATTGACTTCCAAAATCACTGATGGCAGCAGAAATCATACGTAAGAGGTCTGAAACAGCTCCATCTGCTCTTCAGTAGCCCCACTTATGACAACTTAATCGTACCTTACTGTCAAATATCTGTTACGACAATTGCACCAGAGCAACAAGATAATCACGTCCCGGATGAATTAACTGGAAATACCAATAATTTCATGCAACTCATGTTGCATTACCTCCAGAGAGCTCAAATTTAAAGTGAATCAGAAAGAAAGAAGTGAACCACGAGGAAGGGAAAGAAGAGCACCCTGGTATAATATTTGTTCATAAAGATTAATTTAATTGTTTGAAAATTAACAGTTGCACCAGAGCCATGACTGGCTAATTTTGTGCCAAAGGCAAAAATATGAAGTTGTTCCCCTTGATATGGTCATGGTCGCTACATTCACAGTGTGTAAACCTATGTCCAAGGAGTGTTGTGTCTCGTGGGCCCAATTATGAGACTCAACTCCAAGTCTACTGAACCAGAAGGCATGGATCTCTATTGCTACGCAGTAGCATGAAGTTGACTGTGAATAAATGAATTTCAAGCCATAATAAGTCAAATGCATACATGAATTTGTCTTCGATGGTGTTCAGCATTTCACACCAGTAACTGTTACAGCAGATTAAGAGTAGACAGCTGGACAATATAGCCTGTATGATACTGGCCCAAATCCTGTTGCTTAGTGTAGTAAGTTCCAGGCCCACGGAATCAGGGGGGGAATCAATGGGTCAGCTCCTCCATTGATTCAGAGAGGCCTACTCTAGTTGTAATTTACTATACTAAAATAAGTGAAACCCTAGACATTCTGCATCATTCATTTCACAGCACCGAAAAGATCGAGAGTGTGAGGAAGAGGCTGAAATGCATGTTAAACCTAGGGAAAAATGCTGACTTCATGTCATCAATGGGAAGACATCACCATAGCAACAATTATCCACGTTCACTGTGAATTTCACTCACATTTACCATGCTAAATCTGTGGATATATGTATATAAAAAAAGCTGCAACCCTCCATTTTCAGAATGTACAAGAGACAATAGTGGTCAAGGCAGGAACCAAGAGAATCAAAAGCGCGGATCACATCGCTTGAATCAGGTAGCCTAGTGGTGATGCGATGGTCACAGAGAAGAGACAGCAGTAGGCAACATCTCATGTTACCTTGCAGACTTATGAATTACGGAGATCTCTTTGGGAGAGAGAAAGTAAAGAAGTAATTGGTGGGTTTTCATTAGTTTTAGTTAACAGCAGCAACTTTTTAAGAGGGGAACATGTTGACTACTAATTATACCACTCTAATTTTCATTAGTTTTAGTTAAGAGCAGCAACTTTTTAAGAAGGGAACATGTTGACTACTAATTATACCACTAGGAGACTTCTTCTGCTAATTTGTTTATCTGGTGTTAGTAATGCAGATCCTTGGAATAACATATTTTGTCTATTTATGGTTTATTTGCATTGTGGATATTAGTCACTGACTGTAATAAAGTTTTTTTTTTCTCTCTCTCTCTCTCTCTAAGAAGGAATTGGTCTTGTCTGCTTGCTTGAAGAAGCAGAATATCGGCTTACAGCTACATGCCTTTTTGGGGGACAAATTTCCTAAAGTAAAGGGGCAAAATTAAAATTAGCAACAGAATATTGGACAGATCAAGCCTCACCTTCAACTCTAAGGGCACTGATTTTATCATGGCTGGAAAGAACTGGGCATATTTAGCTGTGAGAGAAGATGGAGGAGAGACAAGAGGATGACACTCTTCAAATGCTTGAAAGATAGTCCTACAAAGGGCAGGATTGGTTCTGAATCCTCCCAGAGGTGCAGGGCATGTCATAATGGGCTCAAGTGACACAAAGGGCAGGAGTGGTTCTGAATCCTCCCAGAGTGCAGGGCATATTATAATGGGCTCAAGTGACAGGAAGCCAGTTTCTTGCTGAATATCAGGAAAAACCCCTTAACTGTTAGAGCAGTATGACAAGGGAACCCATGACCTCAAGAAGTGGTGAGCACTCCAATGCTAGAGGCATTCAAGATAAAATTCGAAAATCATCTGTCAGAAATGCTTTGATTTGGATTCAAATCATCTGTCAGAAATGGTTTGATTTGGATTCCTGCCTTGAGCAGGGGGTTGGACTTGATGGTCTGATAAGCCAATGATTCTGTGGGGCAATGACGTGTATGCTGTGCAAAGCATAGGAACCAAATAAAAGGGAGGTGGCCTTTCCACCTCCCTTCCCCAGGTTTGAACTTTGGAAGTGGCTTCCTATATGCTTCCTATCATATCTTGTCCAGCCCATCTATTAGTACACAGGACTGTTTTGCTCCTGCAAGATGGTGGCCAGGAATTCCTTGGGCAATCAGAAACCCTATCTACTTAAATGGGCAGTGTCTTATACCACAATATCAATGGAGCTGTCCGTGGTACTGATGCCAAAGAGTTTCCCAGCCTAGAAGCCTATGTTCTGCCTTCTCAGCTAGAGGTCCCACCCTTGTTCTTGAGTTTCTCCCACTGAAATCAAGAGAAAAGGAGGAATCCATGCAAATCCCAAGGATGCTATAAGGGAGCAGATGGCCTGGGGGCATGTTGGCATACCAGGAAGGCTGTGAATTCTGTGGATCCCTTCCTGGCTGTTTTAAATAAACCTTCACAGTTCTTGGGGAACAGAAGAAAGTCATGTGATCCATGAGTCCAAAACACTCCTCTGATTGTATCCATGTCTTTGTTGCAGATGTTCTTGGACCACAGTTCCTAGAAGCAATCACCTCTCACTGTGCCGGCCGGGATTTCTCGTAGTCCAAGAACATCTGGTGACCCAAGGTTGGGACCCACTACTTGTCTGGATCATTAAAAAAACATACAAAGAACGTTTATTTATTTATTATATATTTAAAATATTTATATGCCACCTTTCTTCCAAATGGTCCAAGGTAGCTTACAGTATGAAAAGAAACAAAGTTAAACATAAATAATAAATTATTAGTTTAGGTCGTCGTTCAAGGCCACAAAACTCTCCTTCTAAGCTCACCTTGCTTGTAACTTCTTAGTCATCTAGTAAAGGGACTAGCCAACTGAGAAGGCTGTTGATGGGTTTTTATGACGATTCTTCCCAATGTATCCATAGTTACTTACAAAGTAATTTTTGGCATATCGTGATGACAGTTGCTTTAGCCCAAACACCATTGGGACTTTGCATTACAATTTACAATAATCACCACAGGCCCTGTTATATGTCTCACCCCCTAGAGAGGTGAGAGACCCCCGGTATTTGGAGTGCAAAAATATGTTGGGAGTCCTCGTTCAGAAAAAAAATTGGGGCCCCCTCCCCAAATTTGCCTTCTTTCATCTGATTTTTTTAAAAAATAAACTGGGGAACATTTCCCTCAGCCCGGCCACGTGAGCAAATAAGTGCTGCTCTATTTAAAGGCTATATAATCAGCTTGCTCAACCCTTCCACAGCCGGTCGGTTGGTAACCAAGTTGAAAGCAACTTGGCCCATCGCCAAATGGCCCCATCTGAACGTTTGAAAGGAACAGAACATGTCTGCTGAACTTTCGGTGCCTCCGAAACCCGAGAAATCCAATTAGTCCCACGCTGAGATGCTATTTTCCTCCATATAAACAGCGCATTTATAGCCAATGGACTCCAAAGTCGGGTTATCGACCTGTGGGACAGGGGGGGAAAATGTATCGGCCTACGGTCAACAGCTATGGCTCTATCAAAGTATTGGCTCACTGGGGTGCCAAAGGTAAAACAGATTCGGATATGCATGCTCATCAATGTCAAATAATGTGCTATTTTCTCCTCTCTCTCCTTATTTGATGGAAAAAGTCCAGGTACATGTTTGAAATAGCTGGATTTCTCTTTCTGCACCAAGTTAATGGGATTTCCCTTCGCTCCTGACATTGCTTGCGTGGGACTGCAAAATGTGGGTCCATAGCACAAGGAAGAAAAGCGTCATTTTGAGCAAATAATCATCTTCTCATTCAATCAGCCCCCTTCAGAAACTAATACATTGTGAATGTCGTCCTGTTACTTAGCGTGGTAAGTCACAACTAGAGAAGCACCACTGAATCTGTGGAATTTACAGCGGGACTCAGCCAATCCTCACGGATTCAATGGGATGGCTGGATTGCTCAGTGAGTTAGGTCTCTTGCTTCAGAACCAGAGGTTGGGAGTTCAATTCCCCTACTGTATCCCCTAGGGGAAAAGCCGGCCTGGGTAGCCTTGGGCCAGCTGCACAGTCCCAAGGTTGCCCCTAGAGGAAGGGAAGGGTAAAGCACTTCTGAATGTTCTCTGCCTGGAAAACCCTGATATGGGTCCCCACAAATCAGAACTGGATTGATGACACATTATTTTTATTCAAAAACACCAGGCACAGTCAATAAAAATTATAAAAACATTGACTGGTATTAAATAACAGATATAAGTTTTAACCTAAAACCTAAGTATTGGTTAATATATGAATGCTGTTCCCAATATTGCAGGGGATTTTTTTTTTTGTAACTCTGTGTTATTTCTGATATCTGCAACTGCTTATAATATTGTGTGAAATACTGTGCCAGGTTGCTGTACTTTGTTAGTTTTTCCAATTCTTTATCTTCAACTCTGGCATCCCCTGAAATTGCAATGTCAATGATCCGGACATTTCTTCAACTATCACTACTATGTCTGGTGTGTTATGTTCATGGTTTCTATCTGTTTGGATTCAGAAATCCCACAATATCTTGACATGGTCCTTTTCGGACACCTTCCCTACCTGATGTTCCCATGGATGATGA